AAAGAGGAAGAAGGAAGCAGCAACAAAAAATATCTCTTTCTGTGTTAAAAAAGGTTTGGAAGACCCACTCTTTTTGTAATTCACCATTATTTTGAGAAATACCCACTGAAGCCCTGTGTAGTAGGCACTACGGTACATGCTGACGCCCTCATTCATTTAACGGGTGTGTTTTGAGGGTTCCAGGGACTGTGTTAGGCTCTGAAAATATAATTATGAAAGAAATAAACAAGTTCATGACCTAATAAATTTTTATTTTTTTTATTTTTATTTTATTATTATGTTTTTTAATATTTTTAAATCTTTATTGTTGAATGTATTACAGATGTTCCTCATTTTTTCCCCATTGACCCCCTCCTCCCCACTCCCGCCCCCCTCCCGCCTTTTCCCACACTATTGTCTGTGTCCATTGGTTATGCATATAAGTTCTTTGGTTTATTTCTTCCCACCCCCCACCCCCAACCCCTTTCCCTTTGAGGTTTGTCAGTCTAGCAATGAATTTGTGCTTCTTAATCCCTTCACCTTTTTCACCCATTCCCCCAACTCCCCTCCCATCTGGCAACCAACAAAATGTTCTTTGTATCTATGAGAATGTTTCTGTTCTGCCTGTTCATTTTGTTTGTTGATTCTATTGTCGATAGATATGTATTCATTGCCATTTTGTTTGTTCATATATTTTATCTTTTTCTTCAAAAAGACCCTTCAACATTTCATATAATAACGGTTTGGTGGTGATGAACTCCTTTAACTTTTTCTTGTCTGGGAAACTCTTTATATGGCCATCGATTCTAAATGACAGCTTTGCAGGATAGAGTAACCTTGGTTGTAGGTTCTTGCTTTTCATCACTCTGAATATTTCTTGCCACTCCCTTCTGGCCTGCAAAGTTTCTTTTGAGAAATCAGCTGACAGCCTTATGGGAACTCCCTTGTAGGTAACTAACTGCCTTTCTCATGCTGCTTTTAAGATTCTCTCTTTGTCTTGAACCTTTTGCATTTTGATGATGATGTGTCTTGGTGTGGGCCTCTTGGGGTTCATCTTGTTTGGGACTCTCTGTGCTTCCTGGACTTGTATGTCTGTTTCCTTCACCAAGTTAGGGAAGTTTTCTGCCATTATTGTTTCAAACAGGTTTTCAATTTCTTGTTCTCACTCTTCTCCTTCTGGCACCCCCAAGATGCGAAGTTGTCCCAGAGGCTCCTTACACTATCCTCATTTTTTTGGATTCATTTTTCTTTTTGCTGTTCTGATTGGGCGTTTTTTGCTTCCTTATATTCCAAATCGATGGTTTGCTTCTTGGATTTACCTACTCTACTATTGAATCTGTGTAAATTATTCTTTATTTCAGTTAATGCCTCCTTCATTTCTGATTGTGAATCCATCATTTCTGACTGGTCCTTTTTTATGCTCTTGAGGCCCTCACTAAGTTCATTGAGCATCCTTATAAGCAGTATTTTGAACTCAGCACCTTTTAGATTGCTTATCTCCATTTCACTTAGTTCTTTTCTTGGGGTTTTGTTCTGTTCTTTCATTTGGGACCTGTTTCTTTGTCTCCTCATTTTGGCTGCCTCCCTGTGTTTGTTTCCGTGTAATACTTAACGAGAGGTATGGGGCTAGATGAGACCAGATGCTGCTTGTTTGAAAGAATTTAGGAAAACCTGAAGCAGGATCCAAGACAGGTCAATCCTATGGTTAAGCAAGTGGCAACAGCTTGGGTGGGCCTGAAAGTTGGGTGGGGCGGGGCGGGGACTCAGGGAGTCAGCAGGGCGGGGCTACCAGTGTGAGCCAGATTGCTGGAGCCCCAGATATGGCTTCTGTCTGCCACCCCAGGGAAGGGCTCACCAAAGGAACAAAGGCCTCTGACAGCACGTTTGTCCCGGAGAAAGCCCCCTCTCCAGCCCTCGCTCCAGTGCCAAACAGCTCAGTTCTTCCCTGTATGTCTCTGGCGCCCCTCGAGCTGCCTCCCCTCCAAGCTTAGCGGGAGAGAGTCCGATAAGTCCGTGCGCGGGCCTTTAAGGAGCTGCCTGGGGCTCCAGCTGCGTCAGCCTCCCTGAGCCTCAGTTCCCGCTGGTTTTTCCAGCCAGAAGTTATGGGGATTCTCTTCCTGGCACTGGAACACTGAGTGGGGCGCCTGGTGTGGGACGGGGACCCCTCAGTCCTCAGGGAGGACCTTCCCAGCCGAGGTGTCCTCCTGATTTTTATCTGCCACACGTGGGTGTGGGACCAGCCCGACCCCTCCGCCCCTCCTACCAGTCTCCATGCGGCTGCTGCTTTAATTCCGTAGTTGTAGGACTTCATTCAGCTCGATTTCAGGCGGTTTTGAATGATGGTTGTTCTGTAGTTTAGTTGTAACTTTGATATGGTTGTGGGAGGATGTGATACCGCGTTTACTTACCCGCCGTCTTGACCGGAAGTCTTGACCTCATGGATTTTACATTCTAAGAGGGATCAATAACCAAACATCACTTGTCAAGAAAAGTATCAAAGATCACACAGGCAAGTTCTATGCGGAACAGGCGAACATGTGACATGGTGTGTGTGACCTGGGGCTGCCTCACCTAGAGTTAGGGAAGACCCTCCGGGAGCAGTATTCTGGGGGATGAGAAGGTGCCAGCTCTGTGAGCACAAGGGTAAGGGCCCCAGGCAGAGGACACCCCGAGGGCAGGGACTCAGACAGGGGGATGCCTTGGGAGGGGAGAGGCACACAGGAAGAGGGCGGGGCTGCATCTGCGGGAGGCGGGGCAAATCAGAGAGGCGGGCGCCCAGCAGGTGCAGCTTTGTGAAATACAGCACAGAACTCAGACTCCACCAAGTCACTGGAACGCTATGGAGCGTTTTCAGCCGGTGTTATGTCACAGGTTAGGTTTGAGGAAAAACACACACGGGCTATTACTTGTCTATACATTTGGGTTGTGGACAAGTTAAGAGACTTTTATCTCAGTGCAGGTGAGAGATGGCTCGAACACAGGTGGTGGAATTGGGGATGGAGCAATGTCCCCAACTTCCCGAGTGAGCTATCCTAGTCCGTGTACCAGCAGGTCAGCCCCCTGCTGTAGGAAACAATCGGGGCACATTTTTCACTAAAAGATTTTTAAAAAAAGATGTATTGACATCAAATTCATAAACTTTTCACTAATAGTTTATACAATGATAGGAGTTCAAGAACATGTGTTGGTAGCATGGATTACATGTATGTTATACATTTCAAAATGGCAGTAAGGTTATTAAAGAAGGTTATTGAAGAAACAGTTTCATGTTGACCAGCACTTCACACCCAATATGGATAATCAGTGATTCTCTTCCAGGTGAAATACTGGGATTGCTGGGACCCAGTGGCGCCGGTAAAAGTTCATCCATTCGAATGCTATCTGGGGTCGCGAAGCCGACGGCTGGAGAGGTAGTTGATGAAGCCAGTCTCCATTCCCAGGCCCACAAGTTCATGCTAAATATAGATTACATCTCTGTATGACTATGCTTTGAGTCATTGGAAAAGTATGAACTAATACATATAGGAAGTAATTTCTACAAATATTTCTTTGATCCTCCAAAAAAAAAAAAAAAAAAAAGACATTTATTCACTGTCTGCCAGTTTCTGGAGTTACTGTGTGACTGCAGAAAAGGCTGCCTGCGTTTCTAAAATCGCTTTGCTTCCTTAGGTGGAGCTGGCAGGATGCAGTTCAGTTGGGGACCCTCAGGGAGACAGCACGGTCCGGTTCCTGGGGTACTGTCCCCAGGAGGACGCGCTGTGGCCCAGCCTGACGGTGAGGCAGCACCTGGAGGTGTTCGCAGCGGTGAAGGGGCTGAGGGACGCGGACGCCGTGGTCGCCATCACACGGTACAGAGAGGTCATGCGGTGCCTTTGTGTCAAGAGGCAGGGAGGCTATGCAGGGTGATGAATTGTCATACAGAATGGGGAGGACATAGTGACCAAAATAAGCTGTCGACCAAAAGAGATCCAGAGTCATGGGAGTAGGACACAGACTGACAAACCTCAGAGGGACGGGGTGGGAGGGGTGGGAAGAGAGACACCGAAGACCGTATATGCAGATTTGCACACCCAGTGGACACAGACACGAGGCTGGGGAAGGCAGGAGCGGGTGGGCGTGGGAGGAGGGGTCAATGGAGAAGAAGAGGGGACATCTGTACTACCTGCAACAATAAAAATAAGTAAAATGGTGAAAGACCAAAAAAATATGACCAGGTCATTGATAACTCCAATAAAAAAAAGAAAAGAATGGGAAGTAGAAATGATGTCTTCCCCTTTTCAGAGGGTGTCAGTGGTAGAGCAGGGAGGGAGGATGAGAACTATTTTTGGCAGTTAGTGAATAATCACCCATTTCTCTCCCAAATGCCGAATTCTAGTTACTCTTTTTTAAAATATATCTTTTTATCTTTATTGGTTTTAGAGAGAGAGGAAGGTAGGGGGAGAGAGAGATAGAAACATGGTTGAGAGAGAACATCGATTGTCTGCCTCCTGCACGCCCCCCACTGGGGATCGAGCCCACAATCTGGGCATGTGTCCTGACCAGGAATCGAACCTGCGACCTCCTGGTGCATGGGTCCACAATCACTGAGCCACGCCGGCCGGGCCTGAAAGCAAATTTTATTGATAACTCTTAAAAAGTTGTTATGAGATGAAAAATCTTTCATGGTTCGAAACAAACTGTTATTTTCTTTTGGTCATTACAGTCAGAATTTTGACAATAAGCATCCAGCTTCTCTCTAAGGCTGTTTCTCTTCCACGTGATGATCTTTCCCTCAAATCCCCTCTGGATCTGACACTCTCGCCCTGTTTCCCATCAGGCTGGTGGACACCTTCAAACTGCGGGAGCAGCTGGATGCCCCAGTGCAGAAATTAAGGGCAGGAGCCTCCAGAAAGGTACGTGTGCTGTGTGAGGCTGTTCTGAGGGCCGACGCGGCGGTGCAGCCAATAGAGGTGTTTCTCTGCATTTCAGCTGTGTTTCATGCTGAGCATCCTGGGAAACGCGCCTGTCCTGCTCCTGGATGAGCCATCTACAGGCATGGACCCTGTCGGGCAGCAGCAAATGTGGTGAGAATCGTCACCCTCAGAGCCAGAAGGATATGCCTATGTAAAAGTTGCTTTTGTTCATCCTTACCCCAAAATGGTTTTCCATTGACCTTTAGATATAGAGAGTGTGGAAGGGAGGGAAGGAGAGAGAGACAGATCAGTGTGAAAGGGACACATCACTGGTTGCCTCCTACATGACCCTGGACCGGGATGGGGCTGGGGATCAAACCTGCAACCCAGGCACATGCCCCCAACTGGAAACCAAACTCATGACTCTTTGGTCCCCGGGCCGACGCTCATCCACTGAGCCAAACTGGCTGGGGCTAAAAGTTACGTTCTTAAACTGATCTTAGAAAATCAAGTCCACCCGTTCCTAGTTCAGTGAAGATAATCTGTATAATTAGGAAAACAAATATCAAACAAATAGGTTCTCAAATGTTGTATCATATTCATGTATTTTTCATATTTTTCTAAAAAAGCAAAACAACAAATATCTAAGGATTTTGTTGGGGTTTTAGGTTTTGCAATTTGGAGTGTATTTTGATGTTTGTCTTTTAATTATTGAGATGTCTATAGCTGCTTCCTTACAAACTATTAAGTTAGTGACATAATTTCCCCATTTCTTTTCCCCCCTTTTACCTAATCTGTCAAATTAGTTTGTATAACTTTTCTTCGTTTTTAAATAATTTTTAGTTTTCTATCAAAGACTTTCCATTTGGACTAATAAAATTTTAAAATCCAGTTTTATATATGTGACTGTCTAAGTTTTAAAAAGAACTTGGTTATGGAAATTTTATAGAAATATAAAGAGAATTGCCCTGGCCAGTTTGGCTCAGCAGTAGAGCATCAGCCCACGGACCAAAGAGTCGCAGGTTCGATTCTAGTCAAGGGCAAGTACCTCGGTTGTGGTTCTGGCCCCAGCCCTGGTCGGGATCCTGAGAGACACAACCAGTCGATGTGTCTCTTTCAGGTTGATGTTTCTCTCTCTCTCTCTCCCGCTTTCTCCCCCCCTCCCACTCTATCTGAAGATATTTGTGAAAAATATCCTCGGGTATGGATTAAAAAATATATATGTATATAAAGAGAATCAGTTATGAATCCCATTACCCACTTACAATAGTGATCCATACAATAGTCACATTTCCCTTTTTTAAAAAAAAAATTAGAATCTAAATATTAGTCATAAACTGTGATTTGCCTATACAATGTCCCTGTCATCTGTTCCCCCACCAGCTCTTTATTTTTAATGGTGTTGATTTTGGGGGCTTCCTTCAGGCAGATGATCCAGACAGCCATTAAGAACACCGAGAAGGGGGCCCTCCTGATCACCCATCACCTGGCTGAGGCCGAGGCCGTTTGTGACCGCGTGGCCATCATGGTGTCTGGGAGGCTGAGGTGGGTGTCTTTCCACAGCCTTCACTTGACCCCAAGGTGAGATTCCCCATGGAAAGGGGACAGCCACCATCTGGGGTTCCTTTTGGCTCCGTCAGTGATGCCTTTTCCCTTTCATCTGAACTGTAAGAATAATGTAAAAATGTCAGGGGCAGTACTTATTCCACACGTTCTCCTTCTTGTCCACAGATGCGTGGGCTCCATCCAGCACCTGAAAAGCAGACTTGGCCAGGCTTACGTCCTGGAACTGAAAGTGAGGGAAACGGCTCGCGTGGCTCTGGTCCACGCTGAGATCCTGAAGCTCTTCCCCCAGGCGATGCGCCAGGAAAGGTGAAGCCTGCTGGCTGTGCCCACTCGGTGGTTCCTTGTCTGCTCTCTAAGAACTTCAGGGTGATGTGACTTCATAATGAAAGTAGGGACCCCAAAAACGGACTTGTTGAGTCTTCCAGAGTATGAGATTTGGGGGCTACCCCGGAAGCTGTGTCCCCCAGGGAAGCCTGGGGACCCCCTTCATGGGTTTCCTCTGCCATCCAAGGGTAGCCAGGGCTCTGGAGGGAGACTTGGAAAACTGGGGGGGGGGGGCAGGGGGAATGAATTTCTGATGCCTGAAACTCACACGGGACCACAGGCAGGCCCCTGGCACCTTCCTTGGGCCTCCCTAGAAATATTTAGAAGGTAAATATTTATAATTTAAAAGATGTAACTATTTAGAGTGAATCCCTTTCATAGAGAACAAATAGCAACTGAGATCATCAAAGAGTCTTCCTTTGGCGGAGTTTTCATGACTCAAAATGAAGACTAGCAAGGTGTGTGTGTGTGTGTGTGTGTGTGTGTGTGTGTGTGTGTGTGATGCTTGTGTATGTCCATGTGTTACTGGAGGGAAGGGGGACAAGGAGCAAGAACTGAGCTTGAACTCCCTTGGAGAGATCATCACCCAAAGAAGCAGGACGTAACTGCGGTTTCTGTTCAGCACAGTATCGACATCATGGCGCTATCTGACGAGCATGGCAGGACGGCGACAGTCCTGCTCCTAGACCTTTGGTGTCACAAACCTGAGACGCAGTCTGGATACAGTTGGGGAGATCATGAGTGGGCAGGCCGGAAGGGCAGTGTCTGGGATGAGGAGGGCAGCCCTGGAAGTCTGGGCAGTGAGGGTACCTGGGAGCTGCAGACTCCGGGCTGGGAAGGAGCAGAGAACGGGGCGCGAGCTCACACAGCCGGAAGGTGCATGTGGGGAACAAGAGCTCTTCTCCCCTCGGAGCTCAGGGACGTTGTTAGTTAATCCTTTTGATTTTGATTTTTTAAATAGTTTGTATTGATTTTTTTTGTGTGTGAGAGAGAGAGAGAGAAACATTGATGGGAGAGAGAAACATCGACATCGATCGGCTGCCTCCTGCATACTCCCCACTGGGGATCGAGCCTGAAACCCGGGCCTGTGCCCTGACCAGGAATCGAACCAGGAATCCAACTGGGACCTTTCAGTCCATGGCATGATGGGGTCAAGCCTTTTGAACCCCTCCACTATTATGCCCCTCTTTCCCAACCTCTTCCTTTCCTTAGCTTTCTGGTGATGAGGGTGAAATAGTAGGTTGAGATTAGTTTCAGCCTAATTTGAATTTACTGAAGGGATTAGTTCACAGTGACCGCGTTCAGCAAGAAAAAGGTTTGGGTAAACTGAGCGTAAGTATAATTATGCTGGATCATCTCTGATGGCCAGCTCCCAAAGCCACTTCAGAAAACCTCCTTTGATAAAGTATTTTATTTATTTCATAGGTGAGCTGCATTAATTTGCATTATTGTTTTTTTAATCCTCACCTGGGGATATGCTTATAGAACTGTAGAGAGAGGAAGTAGAGAGAGGAAGGGGGAGAGAGAGAGAGAGAGAGAGAGAGAAACATCGATGTGAGAGAAACACGGATTGGTTGCCTCCCGTATGTGCCCTAACTGGGGATCAAATCCACATCCTAGGTCTGTACCCTGACCAGGAATCAAATCCACAGCCTTTTGGTGCACAGGACAATGTCCAACCAACTGAGCCAGCGGGCCAGGGTTCATTTACACTATTTTTATTACAGAGAGGAAATTGCTGATAATATCAGAATTGATGGTCATTTTTTTTCTCCTTGGAACTCAAGGTCAAACTGACATTTTCCTATTCCCAGGAATTCCTCCTTCTTGACCTATAAACTGCCCATGGCGGATGCTCATCCTCTTGCTCAGGCCTTTCACAAATTAGAGGCAGGTAAGAATGACCATTTATAGAAGAAAACTTTGGAAGAATTAATGCAGACTTAGATAATGATTGCATAGGAGATAACTGTGTAACACAGTTTTTAAACTCTGTCCTGTGGGGCATGATCCTAAGAATTCTAATGGTACATGAGGGGATTTAACCCTGATTTTGGTTAATCCGAGTGGCTGGAGAGAGGTTAGTTTCCCGTGCAGATGGAAGCTACAGAAAACACATTGTTGTGGTTGATTGGTTTTCATGTGATTTCGTGGCTTTGAGCCCGGAAAGCCCTTTAGTCAAGTCTGCTTTGCTTACATGTACACAATCCATGTTCCTGCTCTTGTCCCGCGGCCGATGCCCTGGCTGTACCTTTCGCCGGGAACACAGAGGCCACCGAACACTTCCCTGCAGCTGCGGTGTGTTCCGCCTCCCTGTTCCAGACGAGCGGACGACCGGTCTGTGTCTCCAGCGAAGGCGTCCCCTGCACTGTGCACGCCTCCTCTGGCCACGTGAAGTGTCCATTTTCTCTCTTCGTCATCATTGTGCCACGTGCCCTGGGTCAATCCCAAGAGCAAACCACCAGGCTGGAATTTCTGGGCACAGCAAGGTGGCAAAGGCTCACGTTGTGGCAGCAGGCCCGCTGGGTCCCCGGCCCGCTGGGTCCCCGGCCGCACTGCTGCTTACAAGCCAGGGGGCACCGGACAGAGATGCACAGTCCCCGCAGGTCTGGACGGCTCGTCTCCGACACACGTCACTGGGCACAGCTGTGACCATTAACTGAGCTCATTTGTAAAGAGCTAAGAACCCGCCTGGCTGTCACCAGTGCTCCTGCCTTCCTGGTCCTTCCTAAATGCTACCACACGTCATAGTCCTGCCTCCGGACTCTGCACTTGCTCATCTTCTCTCTGGAACTCTGCTTCCTAACGCTCCAGGCTGCTTCCTCGCTTCCATCGGGTTCTGTTCAGTTATGACCTTGTGACTGTGGCCTCTCCCAACCATCTGTCAGAAGCGTGCCCACCACTTCCTGTTTCCTTCCCTTGATTTCTTTCTTTCCTCCATCAAAGCGGTCATCATTTACCTTGTTACGTTTATATAAATTAACATATTCGTGATGTATGGCTCATTTATTTAATGCCCATATTCCTCCTACTAGAATGCAGGCGACACAAAGGCAGGGGGTTTTGTTTTGGGCTGTTTTATTTGCAGCTCGACCTCTGGCACCTCAGGGTGACTCCCACACATAGAAGTTTCTCAATGTATAAATGGTGAACTGGGAACACGTGAATGTGCACATCTGGTGACCACACCCAGGCCGATTTCCTGGTGGGGAAGGCCACAGGGAGCTGGTACAGCCTGTGAGCTGGCTGAGACAATTGCACAGAAGAGTTGGGTCCTTTGAAAGGGAACGGAATGAGACTGAAATCATCTTCATGTGCAAGAATGTATCGGTCAACTATGCAGCTCCTCAAGGAACGTGTGTATCTCCGGGGACACAGAGACTAAGTAACAAAACACATATTATCAAAATGTAATATGAGAAAATTTTAATACACAATGAATTCATCGTGAGTTTACATTTCCTCTGACTTTTCATTATTTTTTTCTTTCAGCAAGCATTTATTTATTCAGCTCCATATTCCAAATATATGAATGATTTGCATGTTTATTTTGTGTGAGTTAAAAAAAATTCATGGTCATAAATTATAAGCATCTACACTAGTCTTTTTATTCTCCCCCCAGTAAAACACAATTTTGACCTGGAGGAATACAGCCTTTCTCAGTGCACATTGGAAAAGGTGATTAACTTGGACTGTTTTCGCATCGTTTTTGTAAATTGCACATGAAAGTAACACGTGCTATTGCTGTTCGTTTGAAAGACAGTCAACAACTTGATGATTCTTTTTCCTTCTTTATTTCTTTTTTAGGTATTGGTGGAGCTTTCTAAGGAGCAGGAGGTGGGCAATTTAGATGAAGAGGCTGATACAACCAAGAGATGGAGACTCCTCTCTCATCCCGACGACGCATAAGCCTGAAGCCCGCTTTCCTGTTGATGTCCTATGAGTTTATGTTATATGCAATCATTCACAGTTTGCATAATTTAAAAAATTGTTTACATCGATATCAGGCACATTGTGTATATTTAGTTAATAAATGAATAAATCGTAAAATTATTCTTCCCTTCAACTTTAGAGATGATAGAAAAACCTGTGATAAAAGCAATACAAAGTATTAATGAAGTTATCTGAAGAGCCAGGCACTGGGTTTTGAGGAAATAAAACCACAAACTTGGAATTTTTGAAGCATGACTTTTCTGAAATAGGACATTTACTGAAAGCCACTTGCTGCAACATGGGGGGGGGGGGATGTAACCATCAGCTGGAGGCGCCAGGATGCTGCGCTCCAGGCTGGGTCTGCTTCCCGAGTTCGCTTTCATAGCCAAGGACAACCCAAGAGCCTTCCTCTGAGACCTTTCCAGAAATTGTTCCAAGTTCCCAGGGTTAGGAGTCCCTTAGCTCATGTTGAACACACACATGCATTGGGAAAGCAGCTCAGATGTGCCGTTGTTGTTGTTTGGTGTGGATGAACCGTGTCCAGAGCTGCTGTGGCCATGTGAGTGGTATAATTGTATTTTTTTAACTAATTAATTAATTAATTATTTTTAATCCTCACCTGAGGATATTTTTCTATTTATCTTCAGATAGAGTGGGAGGGAGGGAGAGAGAAACATCAACATGAGAGGGAAACATCAACTGGTTGCCTCCAGCACGACTCTGACCAGGGCTGGGAATGAACAACAACCAAGGTACGACGTGCCCTTGACCAGGATCAAACCTACGACTCATTGGTCCGCAGGCTGAGACTCTAACCACTGAGCCAAACTGGCCAGGGCTGGTACACCTTTATTTAAACCTCGGTAGTCTTTTGTTAGTCTCCATGAGCTATAAGAGGGTCATTGTACAGAGAATTCATTGGTACCCATGCACTTCAGCTTTTCAAATGTAATTAATTAAAATAGCAATTTCTTTTTGCCTACTAGGTACAGCAAATCTTCAGAGCAGTAAGTTGTCAATAGGTTCTGGGACTCTAAGGGAAATGACTATAATGAAACCAATTTTACCAGAGACTCATTGATAGAAACCAGACTTAAGTTCCTACAGCATTTGATCAACTTTATAACAAAGACAACATTGAACAAAACTATGCTCATTGAGGACCTGCTACATTCCATTATTGTTTTAAATTAACTACCTGCCTGTGTTTGGGCAGTTCTGTTGGCTACATACCAAATTAAAACACCCAAGGGCAGACCTTCATGCCTTCTGTTTACACTATTAGGCAGGGGAAGCAATCTCTAGTTGGAAATAATAATAATAATAATAATAATAATAATAATAGTAAAACAATAGGCTAAAGGAGACTGATACTCAGTTATTTTTCCCCAAACACTTCCTATTCCATCTTGGGAAGGAGCCAACTATAGTTCACTTTCACATGGGATAGATGCCCGTATGTCTACTGTACGGTCACAGGGTTATCTAAACTCACCAGCTTACTGGCCCTGTCTGTGGTCAGAGAGGACCTGGACTTGATGCAGGTCTCCAGTATAATAAGACAGCATATTGGTGACGTTGTGGTAACACTGGAAACCGAAGAGCAGGTTGGGACTGATTTCAGTGCAGTGGTGACTCACGTAAGCAACTGAAGCTGGTCACCAAACCCAGCAGAGGTCCAAAGACCAGCCCTGATGGTATAATTATTTGGAATAAACTGGACAGAGGCCTTCTGGAATATTCCACAAGTGATCAAATATAAACTTGTGTTGCCACCCAGCCCTGGGACCAAAGGAGCAGCTCCGCTTTTGGTTGGATTATTTGGATTTTGGGGAACGCATGTTGCACATGTGAGAATATTGCTTACTCCTATACCTATGACTGCGGGAGAGAAAGCCATATCTGGGTGGGAATCTGAGCAAAAGCAGACCATGTTTGAGCAAAAACAGTAGGTCTCACCGCCTTTGGACCCTCGTGATTCCAGATTTCAGGACTGTGGTTTGCCCTGAAACCTCAATCTCTGATGGGTCCAAGAAGCGTCATTGGTTTTCAGTGTGCTTAGGTTGGTCTTGTTGTTAGGAAGAGAGGGATGAAGGCGAAGCTCCTTACATGTCAGAGCTGAAGAAAATGCATTTTAAATTTTGTTGGTTTCTAATGAATTGAAATTTTAACTGAAATATCCCCCTGGAGCCAGAGGCTACCATTTGGGAGAGTGCACTTTCAAAGTGAATCAGTATTTCTGTCCTCATCCTGACCTATACGATTTCTAGAGACCGTAGCTCTGTGCATGCTTCATTCTTTCTCCCACATAATTGCTGTCTGATACCTCAGTTCCCACATTGTGTTTAACATCTCCCCATACACACATTGGTCATTGTCATCATTACTCTGCCTGGTCAATATTTACTAAGCTTACATTAGTTTATAACATCCAACTAGCGCCTTTGGGTTCAATTTCCTTATTCTTGAAGGACATCTATTAGTAGTTCTTTCAGAGTTATCTCTCAAAGAGAAACCTTATGTTTTGTTGGAAGATGTGACTGTGTTATCCTCACACAGGAATTGCACTTTAGCAAATTTATCAATTGGCCTTTGCCAAACCACACAGAACTGACTGGCATAAATTAGCAATCATTTTTGCTTTGTTTTCTTGCTTCATTTCTGGCATCTGGATATTTATTTTTCTTGAGTCTGATGTCTATTTTTGTTATATTTTTATTCAGCTATGTTAGTTCTCTTTGGAGACACTAAGCTCATCAGCCCAGTCCAACAATTGCAGTTGTCTTTTAAAACCACAGAGTGGCCCTGGCCGGTTTGGCTCAGCGGTTAGAGCGTCGGCCTGCGGTCCTGAGAGACCCGGGTTCGGTTCCCGCTAAGGGCATGTACCTCGGTTGCAGTTTGTCCCCGGCCCTGGTCGGTTGTGCGGGTGGCAGCCACTCGATGTGTCCCTTTCACATCGATGTTTCTCTCTCTCTCTCTGTTCCTCTCTCTCCCCCCCACTCTACCTGAACAAAAAATGGAAAAATGTCCTCGGGTGAGGATAAAAAAAAAAAAAAAAAACACAGAGTGCTACTTGGGTGCAAATGATCAATGCAAAGGTAACTGGCCCAACATTTTCATCAGCTCTTTAAGTTTGACACTAAGTAAACCAGAAACTTGCCACCAATGCTCCCGGTGTGGGTTGAGAAGAGCCATGACTGCATATTGTCGATAACGCTTTTAGGTGAGAGGGTGCATTTTTGCTTGAAGTTCTCATTGACTGTTTACCGAAGGCCGAGCACCTGGGCTTCTGTTAGAATAGCAAATGATTTCTGTAAAGGAAAAGAGCTCATGCGAAATCGAAGACACATGGATTCAATCAAATATCTGAAAGACAAACGTGGAAAAGATTAGTAGCCAACGTGGTCGTGGAAGAAGGGCTCGATTGCCCGGTCGGCAGCCGTGCGGAGCTGAGGTTCCCCCGGCTCCATTCGGGCATTCTGCACTGGGGTTGGCATCGCCATCACGGATCAACTCACTTTTTGCTTCCTGTCCTGAGATATCCCTGCACTGTCAACAATGGCCATTCAATAGCCGTGTTGCTCAGTTCTCTCAATGAGTGGTGAGCAGCTTCTGTAAATCCCAGCTTGGAGTGATGTCCTCCTAATTGACGATTTTGTTCCAGGAGCTCCAAGCTTGATGGGTAGACTTTTGAAAATAAGAAAAAGAGAGAAACCTCTGTAGTCCAAACACTCTGTCCATTTAAAATTGGCCACTGTAACAGTATTAAATCGTGTTTAGTTATGCCTTAGGCAAATTACCTTTTGTAAAATGGATGAAATAGCAAAAATATTACAAGATTTAACAATGCCCGTCATCCCTGCATCCCTGTCTTGAGTCTGAGTAGCTCAGATTGTTTGATATCCATGTTTTTTTTTTCTTTCTTGCTCCTTTAAAGCATTTTTTGAGTCTTGAAGTAACTTGTTATTTATGTTTCAGTAATCCTGGATGCCTTCGTTGATCCACCAGTGATTTTAATCAGCAATAAACAACTTTTAAAAAGATGTTATTATGAACCACCAGTTGTGAGACGAACTTCACACATTTTCCTTTTGTTTCACGCGGGACTATTAGCCTCAGCCAGGCTTTCGGGGACCTGGGGTCCTCACATCTGAGGTAAACTTTCTCCGGACAGTATCTCCACACTCCTGACACGGTCCACGGCGGCCGAGCACAGCTGTCGGTCTGTTCTTAGAATTTGCTTCGTACTTCACAGAAAAGAGCTTAAGTCTCAGGGTGAAATATTTTTTAAAATGTAATTATTAATCAGTTTATTTTATGATAGTGGGAAGGACACTCTTGTGTCACATAGAGGGCAACTTCCCGAAAATCGTTACAATATTTATGTAATATTTATGGAAAGCTCTGCTGTTTTTTGTTTTTTCAATTGCAGTTTGCCTTCAATATAATTTTGGATTGGTTTCACGTGTAAGGTGGTGGTCAGATAATCCCGTACTTTACAAAGTGCCCCCCTGATATTTCCGGGACCGCCGGAGCCCATCCGTGGCTGTCACAATGTTATTACTGTCTTCCCCGTGCTGGACTTTGCAGCCCGTGTGCCCTGTAACGACCAGTCTGTCCTGCCCCGTCCCGTCCCCTTTCCCACCCAGCCCCCGCCTCTCCGCAGCATCTGTGTCTCTGAGTCTGTTTGGATCTCCTTGGCCGGTTCATTTTGTTCTTTAGATTCCACAGAAACGTGAACTCATCGGGCGTGGCCTTTCCCTGACCGACTGACTTCACTTCGCCGAGGACTGAGGTGCGGATCCTCCCTGCAGAGGGTCCTGCTGAGAAGCCCTCTCAGTTCTCTGTTTCACCTCCTCTGCCCAGGACCAGCTCTGCCTGCTCCGCGTGCAGGCTGCGCCCTGGCCCTGGTTCTGGTCCACGCCCTCCTCGCCCCACGGAACGCTCCGTCTGCTGCTGCCCGTCTCCTGCACTTT